GAAAATTACTTTATAAAAATACAACTGTTAAATGTTAGTTCATATCGGGTCCATTATAATATTAATATTTAACATATTAGTAAATGTTGAAATCAGTATTGACAAAGATTAATAAATGTATTAGAATTATTTCCATTGTTAGTTCATGTTAACTAATATAGTTAACTAATTTTAACAAATGGCACCTTATTGTGAAGTGTTACCATTTATTTTTATTTTCTACAATGTCAAAATACAGCAGATTTGCTGAAAACTGATTGGTTCTCACCTCAATGATAGTAATCTTGCTGAGATCTGACTCGCTGTAGCTTCGCTTGTTTAGAAGGACATCTCTCTTCCTCTTCAAGAACCCAAATGGCTCGTCCCAGGACTCGCAGGAGTACGCTCTGCATGAGCCTCTCCTTTCCTTCAAAGCAGGCAGGTTTCTCTTCAGAAGTGTCACCTTCACTGCCTTCTTCAGAGCCAAAATGTTCAGCCTCTTCTCCAGTTCTCTCTGGACCTCTGGAGGACTGGGAGCCCCCTGGGTGAGAGTGATCAGCATGCTGCAGAGGACGTGCAGGATGTTGGGTGTGTGTTTGAGGGTTCGGGCCTCGTCCCCGTGCAGCAGAAGGACCTGACGCAGGAGATACTGCCTGAGACTGAAGGAGGAACCGTGGCGCATGTTCAGACATGGGTATTGGGCCAGCTGAGAGCCCACCAGCTGCGCAAAATCAAACACCAGATTGATCTGGGATCGCGTCTGGATTGAGCGAGGCCTTTTGATCCGAACATAGTGGACAGCTTCACTAGCGCTGATTCGACAGGTGTAGACCAGATAACATGCGATAAGAACACCTGTAACGCAGGGCAGATATTAAGGACTTCACTCAAATAGTATATCACTAAATTTACACTTAAAGTAATAATGCATGAGTTGCAACTTGCCTGTCCTTCCCAGTCCAGCATGGCAATGAACAGCCACCTTTCCTTCCTGCACAGAGAAGGCCAAAACCTTCACGGCATCCAACATCCCCTCCAGAGATGACACACCAAAATCAGACATCCCAAAATTATAGAAGTAAACTGTCAGACAAAAAGGAACATGATTCAATAATTCACTAGTTAATTTATTGCTGAACATTCAGGTATATTTAACCTCAACATAAAAAGAGAAAGAAAAAAAGAAAGAAAAGAAATTGTATTTTGCATGGCATGGAGAAAAAGACCATTCATATTTGTAGGACCAATACATATATGTTTCCATTGTGACATAATAATATATATTAAATATGATAATATATACAAAGTATAGATTTATTTAAAAGAAATTAACTTGTATTCATAAGGATGCATTAAATTGTTCAAAATTGACAGAAAAAAATCATATTTTAAATAAATGCTGTTTTTTACTTTCTATTCACCAAAGAATCCTCAAAGAAAATGTATCACAGTTTCCACAAAAATATGAAGCAGCACAACTGTTTTCAACAGTTGATGATAAAAATAAATGTTTCTTGAGCAGCAAACCAGCATATTAGAATGATTTCTGAAGGATCATGTGACACTGAAGACTGGAGTAATGATGCTGAAAATCCAGCTTTGCATCACAGGAATAAATTACATTCTAAAATACAGTAAAAGCTTAAGCAAAACATTAATAAACCTGACTAACCCCAGACTTTTGAACAGTAGTGTATTTAAAACTTGATTTGGAAATGAGAGTTAGGAATGACACAATGCAAAACATCTTCAATTTCTTATATCATGTTTCAAAGTATTATTCATTTTCTTTTATTAGGTTTTTTATTCTAGGGTGTAATATGAAACAGACATGTGCTTGATAGATTTTGCAAGAGGTTCACACTATTATTAGAAGTTCAGTTTATGAAAGTTCATGACTTTGGCTCACTTTGGCTGTCCATAAAGATCTGAGGTGAATATGTGAACCCACTGCCAGGGTCCAGAGGAGGGCCGCAGTGAGCATGTTCCCCGGGGAGCTGCATGTTAATGATGGATTTAATGTTCAACCTGAAAGCAAGTAAACAACCGTACACACACATGCACACACTGTCACTTATTAACCAGAAACACCACCCCTCCTTCCCTCACTGCAGAGTGTAAGTAAATATTAAACATCTTTAAACAAAGACTGTATTAAATAACACTCACTGTTTGAACTGCTCTATGATGCAATATCTCTTGATGAGATATGTAGAAGGCCGTGCCAAGGCAATAATGTCATCGGTCACCCTAAATACAAAAGTGATAAACACATGCAGTGAATATATACATGGCTATTTTCATAAGGCAAAGAAACAGGAAAACAATATATTAAACTGTTTTAAAGGAACAGTTTCTCATTCTCACTCACATTCAGTTCACATCTGGGTGAGCGTGATTTGACCAAGTACAACATGTTCCTGGATCAACATCCTTGTTGATCCTGGAACATCATTCCAATCAACCAATCAACCAGTTGAGAGAGAACTTTTCAGGAAATGTCAGTTTTAGGCTTACAATCAGGATTAGGCGCTTCTACACCCTTGTTAATCAGCTATCATTTCCCTCTGATTTTAGGAATAAATTATGGGTAGGTTTAGGTTTAGGGGGGGGGATTAGGTTAAGTCTGTATTTTTGGACAGTAATGTTGATCCAGGATCAACAAAAGATGTTGATCCAGGAACATGTCTTACTTGGCAAAAATCACGGCAACCTCAAATCTGACAGGTTTAATGTCATTGGTTCTCTCACATATTTATTCTTGTTTGTTTGGTGTATCTTCTAACACTAGGCTATATGTCCACATTAATCTGGATAAATTCGAAAACACTTTGAGTTTTGGCCTTTCGTCCACACTCAGACAATGTTTTAGTCCAGCGAAAACAGAGCTTTTTGAAGGCGCTTTCCCAAGTGTGTAAATTTGGAAACGCCGTTTTCACGCTGCAGTTGTGGACTGTGGCAACGGAGGCATTCGAAAATGGTTGTTGTTGTGCGTGCCTGCAATTCACTTAATAATAATGTTGCTAAAAAATAAATGTTGCTTTGCACAATCTTCGAATTACATTCCTGCAAAGAATATTTACTCGTTATTGCTGTACTCGTAATTGGCAGGTGCGTTTTTAGACCATACATAGACTTTATTCAGTAACAGCGCCATCTTTAATTTTTGACAGGAATGAAAACGAGGCTGAGGGAATAAAAAACTGTGCGTTCAATGGATTTTACTTTTGTTTTACAATATACTGATTGTTCAGCTGACGAAACTTATTTCCAAACCCATTAAGCTAAACTTTAAAACTAAAGTTGTAAAAATTACATGACGTAGCCTAAGACCTTTATAGAGTGCGTGCCATACATACTTTTTTAAACAAAAAACTGTGGTAAAATATCTATTTAGGAGTCTTAGACCTTTCCAACGATATATAGTTTGTCATGATTAGATTAGGATTTAATTGTAATATAGTGAAGTAAACTTAGTTAAGAGGTTAATGTTTAAAATGCCACAAACATTTATAGAATTTTTTAATTTGTCACCTGAGATTTCATTTATACCCAGTATTTTTCATTACATTTATAAATGACCAGTGTTGTTATTGTTAACTAAAGCTGAAAAATTAGTTAGTTAAATTAGTTAGTTAAATAAAAATATATTTTTAAAAAACGAATAAAAATGACAAAAGCACATAACAAAATCATTATAACTTCAACTAAAATGAAAACTGAAAATCCTATTTTAAAAAGCCAATTAAAAATATTAATAAATACTATAATAGTATAAAATATACTGAAATTGTCTACATTTTATGGACCATAATTGCTCTAATTTACCCCAAAGTCTTCAAAACATAGCCAAAACATATGCCACCATGGGAAATATTAAACTAGAGATTGGCTCCATCAGGGGAAAAAAAAAACTCACACAAAATATGTTTTTCACAGCATGTAGTACTTTATTTAGGGGGAGTTTATCGTGTAGCTCATTAGAAAGCGATACATTTAGGCAGACGAATGCACAGAAATCCATCTGCATTCATGACATTTCTAAGAACATCATTGTAAAACTAAACAGACCACTTGCTAAGGACCCCCTTGCCACATAACCAAGAAAACAATGAGTGCTCAATAGGATATGAGGGCCTTTGATGTTGTGTCGCATCTATTGGGCTTCATTTCTGGCTAGACCTTTATAGGTCCTTTGATTAGGACCTTGTTCTGTATGAGATCATGTCTCATTATAGGAACGTTACCTATGTTGTATAACTTTTGTTCAACAGCACTGCGATAACACCTGTGCGTGAAATTTAACAGTGTGTCACATTGTGTAGTGTTAGTAAGATATCTGAACCAGTGGATTCAACCTAGTCAGCACAACCTGCAGAACCGGTGTGCCTGTGAACCCTATTCTGGTGAACATGTCATCTTGCTCTGATCACGCTCTCTATGGCTGAGTGGCGTTGACGTGGCATCAAAAAGAGGTAAAAGAACATTTAAAATAAAAAAACAGTGGGCTTTTATCTCTGACCTTGATCCGCTGCTCCAGAAACCTTCTGCTAGTTTTACTGGAGAGCAGTTTGGACCAAGCAGCCATAGTCTGGATGTATCTTTTCAACAAATACACTTGGGCTTCAAAGGGGCATGACCTCCCAGTAAATAAGTGAGCAACATGCATCCATTAGTACATCTTCAAAATGCCCATCCAGCCCATTTTCAGTTTGTATCTTAATGGATTGTTGACTACTGTAGACTTTTGCAGAAACAGTCAGTCCTGCGTTGGAGTCATGTGCGTTGCTCGATGGCACAATGGTGATTGAGGACGATTGTGATCACAGAAAAAACTGGCTCACATCTTCCAACCTCTGGACCAGCAGCTCTGTAAACATCAGGGATCACCTCTCCATGAACATTTCGTTCTTCTCTCCATGGTTTCTTCAGGGTTGCACAAACAGACAAGCAGAGCCATTCTGAAGAAAAGTGATGGTGCTGCCACTGCACAGCGGAAAGGTTGCGAGTTCCATCATTCCCATGGAGGAATCATGGTCTACGTGTCAAGTTTGCCATGGACACACATGGCGTGGGAGGTACTTGGGTTGCGACATTTGTCACAACTGAAGCTGTGTGATTGCTTTGGCTGCTGCTGGCTTGTATCAGCAATTGCACACAGTTTGTTTGATCCAGCGTGCTATTGGGTCTTTCTCAACACTGGCTGCATCAAGGTCTGTAGCAGTTGTCTACCCTTGGCAGCAGACACTTACTCCAGCACCTCCATCATCTTCTTCATCATCGTCGTTGTCACCCCCTTCATCACTCCCCTCGGATAAGATCTGTTGATGGACAAAAACATTGTTGCTCAAATAGATAGACAGTAATAAAATGTTGACTTTATATTTTAACATATTGAGTTAGATTAGGGTCTTTTTGCTTTGACTCAGTTACGTTGAATTTACATAGAATATGTTTTGTTGGCACAATTATGTTTTATTGACCCAGCCACTTTTTTTAAAGTTATGTGAGTTTATCAACTTTAGTTTGAATATCTTTATAAAAGTAAGGTCAGTACCAAAGTTAATGTTCATTGAACCTAATTTGGCTTATTTTTTTAGTTCAACCAAATATAATAATTCATTTATTTCAGTTGTTCATTGCAACCATATCAAAATGCCAAAGAATTCTAAAACATAAAATAGTAAATATGAAATTTATGAAAACACACCTTCCATATAACACACTTTAATTTTTTTCATTTAGGACTGTGCATTAAAGAAAAAATGCAATATATATTTATGAACCTTAAGTGTTTTTTTTTTTTTGCTGTCATAGTTTTTGGGTGCATTTTCTCATATAATACATAGCTACTTGATTAAATAAATAAATGGTGATATTGATTTCAGATATTATTTTATTATTTTATTATCTTACTTGCAGATTATCAATTTATATATAGCAAGTTTGTTTAAGTTTGCCACCCATCCTTTACCCTGAGGAAACTGGCACACCCTCTTACATAAACACATTCTCTACAGAGGTGGGTGAATATAGAACAATAGCCTGAACTTAAGGTGCCATGCACAAACTAAGAGTTCATGTTTAACTTAAAATACAGTACAGTTCAAATGTCTGAGTCTCTGCTATAATATAATAGCAGATGCCCTTACCATAGTATCAATACAAGACACATTAGTACATATGTCCTTAAAAGTATTTTATCTGCAGTAACGCTTGCAATAACATTATCTGTCTATTATCCTCAATCTATCTATAAATCTATCTAAAGCTGAGTTCATACATACATGGATGATTTAGATTAAGTGATACTGCAACTTAATGTCAAACCTAAAACCATACTTAAATGTGTGTTTCGAAATAGTTGCTGGACTAAAAATGTGCATTCTTGCTAGTTTGCAATAATAATAATAACATTTTACCTTATATTTATATTTTTCTTGAAGGGAATCATTTAAAAAAAAAAAAGCCTTACCATGCTGATGATTTGTTCAAGGTTCAGAGCAGCGTAGTGCAGTTCATGTGAAGTGGATCTTCATCTGTTACTTATACTCTTCACAGAAACTGTTCACACCTCCTCAAAGAACACAACTATGCAGCAGCCAGTCCGGTGCAGACATATTAGATGAGATCTTTTCACAGAAACGAAAGTGAAAGTGAAACTTTGCTTGTGAGGGATTTCAGATGTTCTCAGTTATATCATTTATCGTGTAACATTTCAGATACAAAAGTTTAAACCACATTATAATGTAAGATAAGAAAAGAATGACAGCGACACATGTGAGGAAGTTTTGATCATGTTTGGCCTCTTGGTTATACTTATGTCAAATCTATGCAATGCTTTTGATTGTTTTGCACAAGACCTTGCATGTGTATTTTATACTTCTGGTCACAATTGACAAAATTCAATTTGTTCACATTTGTAAACTGCATAAGTTAACATGAACTATCAGTGATAAATACTTCTAAAGCATTTATTATTAATGTCAATTTCAAAATTTACTACATTATTAAAATAAAGAGTTCTTGAGTATCTTGAGTTGTATAGTTGTATGTTAACAAATATTAATAAATACTGTAACAAATGTATTGCTCGTTGTTAATTAATTGGACCTTGTTGTAAAGTGTTACAACATACTTTCTTATATATACTTTATTTAGATTTTTTTTTTTTTTTTTTTCGGGACTTGTTGTTTTATCAGCTGGGCCCCGGACCAACTGAACCAAGCAATGCAGAAACCAAAGGTTTCACCAAAAATTCGCTTCTTCACTTCACTTTACATTTGTAACATTATTCATGAGTCAGCAACGTGTTAAAGAGGTTTCTTGGTTCAGTTTTGGCATCACATTCATTGGTTTTTTTCTAGTCGGTTCTTGGCTTTGTAGCATTTGTCGGAAACTTGAGGCTTTATGCGCGGATCGTCAGGCGTCACAGCGGTGTTAGGCTTGGCAGACTGCGCAGGCCTCTGCACATCTGGACACCAGCACAAAACAAAGATTGAGACTCATGCAAATGAGTTTCCCCTCTGAATGGCGCTGTGCCAGATGACCCCGCCCCTGGCAGCAAGGATTTACATGACCTCCGCCTCCTTCATGATGCTAGAACAAACAACAAAACCATTCAGCTACAGGAAATGCAGATGGTGTCAAATATCAATTATATAACAACTGTATAACTTATTATATAACAATATTACTGAATGATGCATTTGAATGAAATCATTGGAAATAACACTGTAAGGTTTATGTTTACAGTAGTACCCAGTCTTTTACAGTAGCTCAAAAAAAAGTCGGAAAAACATCCAATATACTCACACATTAGTGCTCCAAGACCAGTCAAGTTTCCACAGCGTCTCCCACAGAGGAAACACCGTAGACCTGTTAAGATGATTCAGTTTCCAGGTTACACAGTGACAAAACAGCAAAACAAAATCTGCATGGCAAAATCATTTAATTGCCATGATTGAAAACACTTTAAGAAATCTTTAAGGAAATACATTTTTATAATAAAGTAATAATTATGGGAAATCTTCTCTGTAACTAGTTCTCTTACCTTGTTGATCTGGCAGCAGAAGGATCTGGTCATGGAAAGGACAGATCAGTGTGACTCTCTGTAATTTATATTAGTACACCGTTCCCACCCTCAACTGATCTGGGAACAGCTGTTGGCCTTGTTTTCATACGTTTCATTTTCTCAGTAAGTTTCTGATCTTCTGTCAGCCCGTCCCTATACAGGAAGGCTTTGTTGTTGTTCCATGGTGAATGGCACAGCATTTTTGTTTGAGCCTTTTAAACGTCCACTAAAATGAATCGTTCAGTTACACTTTACCATAAGGTTCCATTCGTTAACATGAATTAACAATTAAGACAACTTCTACATAATTGAAGTTGAGATCAGCAGGAGTTCTGTGGTATCAGGTTTTGTTTACTTTCGATTCTGCTCTTGGTTTCTCTTTCTCAAACCTCATTATGCTGAATTATGGGCAAGGTTAGAAGAATTATGTTCATGAATGTGAATGATAACACGTCATCAACTTGTTTAAAAACTCAGATTAGATCAATTATTTTTAAAGAAACAGTTCATCCAACTATTATGAATTAATTTTTCGGTGGAACCCAAAGTAGGATTTTGGGAAATGTTTGGGGAGGTGGGTTTCAATAAAAATGAAAGTCAATGGGGAACAAATGTGGTTAGATCCCATTGACTTTCAGAATACATTCTTTTATGTTCCATAAAAGAAAGTCATACAGGCTTGGAACGACATGAGTCTGAGATAATGATGAAAATCTCCTTTACCTTGTTATTCTTTAAAAATTGTTTCATAACTTGAATAAAATAAAACACAGACATTAATTTCAGTTTCAGGTTTTTCCATTTTTATTCATTTTTTTTGGAAAGAGTTGCGCTCAGCCTTCATTAAAAAAACAAAAAAAGGTTTGTTTCACAGCAGGCCATCCCCATCACCTGCCAACCAAGCAACAGACAACCAGAAGCCGACCAAAGGGGGAAAAGGGGGGTTTAAGGGTAGTAGTCGGCTTCAGTTTTCTTGTTTGTGTGATTTGTTTGGTTGCTTCTAGTTTTCTGGTGCTTTGTCAGCGGGTCCTGGACCTGGCGCTGTTCACTGCAGGTCCACTGGACCCCGGCCAGAGATCCAGTGTTGCCAGAGAATGCACTAGAACAGGGCAGTGGACCCGAGTGCCCGAATCCCTTGGCAGTTGGGTTCTCCTCCTCTCCTCCTCAAAATCTAAACACGGAATGATCATCACATTATTATATCTAAAGTTCAAAGATACATGACTGATCTAATAATAATTTAATGTGAAAGATAGCCTACTTACAAAATAATAATAAACGCAAGCATCGGCACAATGCCAAACAGATCCTTAGGCAGCGTGACGTCTCAACTCGTGCGCAGTCATCTAGTGGCAGCTAAAATTGAGAGAAATTGAAAAAAATAACATTTCATATTATTATTAACAAACTCAAAACTGCCTATCCAATTCTGCGAAATCGCAATATAGGCTAATCCCCTAGATAAATCAGCGCACATAATCACAAATGCAGAATTTGTCTATCAAGCAGGCAACGTTTTTCTATTTAATCAGATGCGATTATGGTCTAGATCTGTTTTGTAAAATGGATTGTACATTTTATTTGACAAATGGGTGGTGGTTTTATTCATTACGTTACACGAGCACAACTTCCTTATTGCGTATAGCCAGTAAAGATATCACAGAAAAAGATACATTATTTAAAAAGTATGATCATTACTGCTCTAAATTTTAAAAGCCAAATAAACAGCTAGGATCACTCACCAGTCTGCACACTAGATCACAGCATACAAGCTGTCCATCTCCGCTCCATATCAGACAAGAGAGTCTGCAGGATAGAAAGGAGGGGTCTCTGTTTCCTCTCGCTTAAATACTCTAACACTTCCTCAATGAACTCCTCCCTCTCCTCATCAGATTCGGTTTCTCAGTAAAGTGAAAGCTACAGTAGGGACTTGTCTAAAGACGTTTTTATTGTGTTATTTCATATGACATTTCTGTTGACATTTTTTTATTTTATTTCATGGTAATGTTTTAATCTGTTGGTCCCCCAACCAACAGAAACCAAGCTCACAGAAACCAAACAGGGGGTAAGCTACTCCATTTAGTTCATTTTCTTTCTTTTTTTTCTGCATAACATTCATATAACATATTCAGCTCTTTGCATAAGACTTCAGTGCATCACTGGTCTCCGTGCATCTGGCCCATTAGCACAAAACAAAGAAGATGACTCTAGAAAAGGCAGAGTTCCTCCTCTGAGTTGCACCAGACCATGATGTCCTGCCCTTGGGAGCAGGATCAACTCCACCTCCTCTCTATGCAGTGAAAAAAACAAAAAAACAAAACAAGATCAGCAAATGGGATTGCAAATAATGTTTTCATTTATATTGCAATTTATAAATGATGTAATTGGACAATGTATCTGAAATTTTTATGACATTTGATTTATCTATGTACAGTTCACTGATATAGTCACTGTCACCGATTTGTCTGCTCACCCATTAGTTCTGTAACCGGTTCCACAGCGTCCTCCATGGAGGAATCACCACAGACCTGGAAAACTAACGTTCATGGATGTCTGGGTTACATAATGACAAGTCAAACAAAACTGACCATACACAAATAATCAAACAAATTCAGCTAAATTTTAATCAAATTTCAAACAAATTAGGAATAACTCTTCTTTCTTACCTTTTCTTATGTTAATCGTTCAGCAGAACGCTTGTAAGATATCAAGAACAAGCTGGAAAGGATAATTCCTGTAATTTATACTGCAACATCCCTCACCTGTGATGTGGGCAGATCTTGCCCTGGAAAGTCCTGGAATGATCTCCACACCCAAATCTAATCATGACTGATAAGAGACAAACACATGCAATAAGGCAGTTTCTGTGGTGTCAGGGATGTGTACAGCTGTGGTTGTGTCAGGGGCGAGGCCAGAAATATTCAAGTGGATAGACCTTCATAAAACAGGGAGGGCAAAGTGTAGTGTATGAAAACTGCAAATTGCTGACAAAAAAGCACAAAGGTTCAAACCAGCAAATAATAAAATAACCCATAAACAACTCTGACAAGCAAACAATAAAATGCTCTTCCTATTTTCTGTGAAGTATAATGACATATGAGTTACTCTTTGGAATTTTTTTAACTATAAATGCTAAAAAGTGTCTGCAGTTGCCTTTATATGTCCTCCTACAATATTAAATCTGGTTAAATCTTTACAATAAGAAGTTTCCATTTGTTAACGATATAAGCTGACATGAATTAACAATGCACAAAACTTCTAAAGCATTGATTTGTATTGGCTAATGTTAATTTAAACATTTACTAATACATTATCAAAATTAAAAGTTGTATAACAGTAGTACCTGAGTTAATACGAACAATGAAACCATTTACAAAGATCAATAGTGTAACAAATGTGCTGCTCATTGTTAATGTTAGTTAACATTAATTAATGGAAGTTTATAAAGACAACAGGGCTTGGGGTTAAACATGCAGATGATCTCATAATCAAGTGTCGCTGTCTCAAGCATCAAGGAAATAACAAATTAACCATTGCCTCTCTCTCTATCATTGCATTCATTTTAAGGACCATAATTTCCCAGAATGCTTTATTGAAGCCAAATATGACACAGAAATTGGGAAGAATTAAACTAGAATTAAACTATACTTCATTTGGGGTTTTACATGAATATTATTAAAAAGCAATACATTCAGAAAGACAAAAAACATCATTGTATAACTAAACAAAGCACTTTCAAACAACCCCTTACCACATAACCAATAACTCAGTAGTATAAAGCAGTGGTTCTCAACTCTAGTCTTGCGGACCCACTGCTCTGTACATTTTGTATGTCTCCTCTACCTGACAGCTGACACACTCATTTCAGTTCATGGATCTCTCTCTCTCTTAACAAGCTGATGATTTGAATCAGGTGTGTTAAATAAGGAAGCCATACAAAATGTGCCGAGCGGTGGGTGCCCAGGACTGGAGTTGAGAGTCGCTGATAGAAAGTATCTGATGTCAAATCTTCAGAATGTTAGAGGCTCTACTTTGGGCTATAGATCTAAAAGTCCTTTGATTCAGACCGTGTTCTGTAGGAGATCATTTCTTATTACAGTTAAGGCACGTTGTGTAACTTTTGTTCAACAGCACTATAATAACTCCTGTATGCAGGAATCAGCAGTGTGTCATATTGTGTTATTAAGATATCTGAACCAGCAGATTCAACAAAGTCTGGTGTCTGTGAACCCTAACCTGGTTACAATAAATAAATAAAAAATTGTAACAAACAAAAATAAACGCATAACAATCATGAACTTTTTTTTATTTTGGAATTTTGCTATTTTTATTTTTTTTATTTATTTTTTTCAGGGCTTTTTGTTTTATCAGCTGGGCCCCAGACCAGCCGAACCAAGCAATGCAGAAACCAAGGTTTCACCAAAAAAGTCACAGGAGAATATACTACTTTATTTGTTTCATATTTGTTATTTAAGTGTCAACAAAGTTTCAGAGAGCTTTCTTGGTTCACCTTTAGCATTACGTGCATTGGTATGTTTTTTTTTCTGGTTTGCATTAGACTTCAAACAAGATTGAGATTTTAGATTAGAAAGGCATTGCACAGCTCACTTTATCCTAGCTTCTCAAAAATTGACAATAGCCCATGTAATTACACGGTGCAAGTAGTTCAAACACCACTCAGTATGCATATACTGTAATATGTATGTACACACAAACGCATACAAAGTGACGAGTAAAAAAAAAATGACGTGATAAGTAGCCAAGTATGGTGTCCATACTTGGAATTTGTGCTCTGCATTTATCCCATCCAAGTGCACATACACAGCAATGAGTAATGAACAAACACACACATACACACACCCGGAGCAGCCATTTTTGGTACGGTTCAGTTGACTGAAGTTGTTAATTCCATGTGCCATCTGCTGGATTGATGCAGTAATGCAATTTACAACTTATAGTACAACTGAGACATTTTCTCATTTGTCTGTTATTGAGAAAATTATGAACATGAACTCTCGAATGGGTGAAAACACAAATCAATGACTATTTTTTGTTCCCCAAAAGTGGGACACCTGAATTTAAATTCTGCATTTAAGGAGCAAAATAGATTGATCACATTCAACACAATAAGTTCATGATTATGTTTTATTCTAAAACATCATACATATAATACACAAACAAATTTGTCATGATAATAGAGTAAAATAGATTGTATCTGTTACACATCAGTTTAGGAAAGCAAACCATTTCAACCAGACATGGAATTCATCAATACATTAAATCTTCATTCAGATTCAGACATAAACAATGGTAAGCTCAAGAAACACGCCTGAGCGAAACATTTCACATGGCATGACGAACATAAAACACGTCAATCGATTTCAACTTTAAATTATAATGGAAAGAGCTTCATTGCATCGTTGTGGCTAAAGAACATCATGTTCCCTTGAACTCTGACCTTAAGTAAAACCAGTGTTCTGGGTCACGCAGACATTTGCCACAAACAACAATGGATTGTGGGGGGAAAAAAACTAACCTAGTAAAATAAACTTAACCTTTTCATGCCATTCATGCCATGTGCTGTTGATGAGGAGAATTTCAACCAAGATCCAGAATGAAGTAAACTCTAGAAGACTCATGCAGACAAGGATAATGTTTAGAAGGACCACAGGACTCCATGCCACTACAGCGGATAATGCAATGTAACAAACTTTACAGCGTTGCATATCTATAAGGACTGATGGAACAGGCATGGCTTTGATTCGCCAAACGACTCCACATGTAAAGTCCAGTTCTGAAATATTAACTCCAGAGATTCTCCAGTGAGCTTGACAACAAATCCTCAGATAAACAATGCTGATCAGACTAAAGCAAAACCAATAACCCTGCTCACTGATCAGGGGCTCCAGTGTTTTTGGTTTTGCATGAGAAACTGAAAAAGCCACAGCGAAGGAAGGTCCTTCAAAACATTTGACCTCTCGCAAAATTTGTTGGATTTAAAACAAAATAACAAGAAGAAAAGAAATAGATAAACTTGGGCAAAGAAATATATTGTAGAAAAGGAAAGCTAAGACAGGCGCAGAGTGTTTGATGGTTTCTCCCCAGTTTCCAGCTGTGTCACACACTTAAATATTCTAAGAGGAGTCTCTAGCCTTTCCATTGGTTCATATGCACCATCTCACCCCTAACAGGGACACTAGCGTTTGGAGAGCTCATTGGATAACCAGTCCAGTCCTTCATAGAGTCCAGTGCCCTGTGTAGCACAGGTCGCTTGGACATACCACTGCAAGAAGCCCAGACAGAGAAAAATAAACCAAAATTAAAAAAAAAAAAAAAAACAGCAAGTAGGATGTCACAGCCCACACTCCATTGACAAAGTAAATTTACACTCTTAGAAAAAAAGGTACAAAGCTGTCACTGGGGCAGTACGCTCAGGTACAAAATCTAAAAGGTACATCTTTGTACCTTATTTACACGAAATGGTACATATTAGTACCATCCCAATAACAGTTTTGTACCATTTTTCTGAGTGAACATGCACTTTAAAGGTTTGATTTCAATTGCTCTTAAGAAAAAAATGTCATGTAAACACTTCAATCTGTACCAGTCAATTTTTGAAAAGTCAGACTAACAGACCAAGATAATGCGATAAAAGCAATAGTAGCAGCTGTTTTGTCTGACATGTTTACTACCATTCAAGAGTTTAGGGTTGGGAAGATTCTATAGATTCTATTTTTTATTTTTTGAAACAAATGAATACTTTTATTCAACAGGAATGCATTAAAATGGATGAAAAAAAGACTTGACCATTTTTCCTATTTCAAATAAATGCTGTTCCTTTGGCCAAACAAATCTCTCACAGTTTCTACAAAAATATTAAGCAGCACAAATGTTTTCAACACTGATAATACTAATATGTTTCTTGAGGAAATCAGCATATTAGAATGATTTCTGAAGGATCACGTGACAATGATAGTAATGATACTGAAAATTCAGCTTTCATCACAGGAATAAATGACATTTTAAAAATGTATTCAAATAGAAAAGTTATTTTAAATTATATTTTTTAAAAATTACAATATTACTGTTTTAACTGTATTTTTGATCAAATAAATGTAGTCTTGTGAGCATAAGAAATTTCTTTTTTTTTTTTTAAATCTTACTGCCCCCAAACTATTGACCGGTAGTGTATTCACTTTAATTAGAAGTTACTCAGACATTGTGCTGTTTAATCAGAGGGTGGCTATGTTGAAACTAGAGAGTAGGTAGTGCATGCTGGTGTTAGTGTGCAAGTGTGTACCGTTCTACTGCGTAGACTCTGCAGTCCAAGTTTGTCTGTGAGTTCACTGACAGCCATGGCGTTAGGCAGATCCTGTTTGTTTGCGAAAACCAGCAGCACGGCGTCCCTCAGTTCATCTTCCTGCAACTGTACATACACACAGGAAAAGACACCGATGAGGCAACTCAACCACATTAAGCAAAAAAAAAAAAAACACTTCCACAAATGTCCTGATTCATTGCACTTAGTGGCCATTTCAAAGGATCACAAAGACATATGCTTACCATTTTAGAAAGCTCCTCTGCAGATTCGGCCACTCTCTCTCTGTCATTGCTGTCCACCACAAAGATCAGACCCTGAGGACAAAGGGAAAAACAGAAAGAGCAATGAGTCTCTGCAAGGACTGTAAGTAAGTGTGCCCTTAAGTAATGTTATTTTGTATGAATACTCATCAAGATCTTACCTGTGTGTTCTGAAAATAGTGTCTCCAGAGAGGACGAATCTTATCCTGGCCACCGACATCCCACACGGTGAAGCAGATGTTCTTGTATTCAACAGTCTCTACATTAAAACCTACCCAAAGAAATACAGTGACAAAGTACATTGAGTGGAATAGTTCTGCTTTTTTATGAAACACTGGCTAAACATTGTAGTGGTGTAAGACAGGACAATCAGGCAATCACTGAAACCACATGTATGATGACAGCCAGTGGGCGTTAGCATATCAAAAAGGGAGACAAGTACTGCAAAAAATTCCCCGGGTGGATGATAGGATACTCATATGACTCAGAACACAACAAGACAAGACAATGACCTCAATCTACCCATGAGAACTGCTTTGAGATCATAGTCAAATCAAAACCAGTCCTGTCCTCTTACCTATGGTTGGAATGGTGGTCACAATTTCTCCAAGTTTGAGTTTGTACAGTATTGTGGTTTTGCCGGCAGCATCCAGCCCCACTGTAAAACATCAAGTATTCATCATGAGAATAAGGTTTCTAAATATATAAGACAGAAACAGCAGTCAATTCTCTTAAAAACTCAACGAAGAGCTCATGTCCTTAAATGGCCAAGGATATAAACTACACTGTACTATACTAGTAAACATACTTTACTATAATATAAACATAAATTTGTACTAAAACCATATTACTCTATAGCATACTACTTTATGTACTATCATAAACTAGAGCATGATTTAAACTGTACTGTACTATATTAGTTAATACATTACAGAGTATACTAGAACAGTACTATACTTAATAAATAATAAATAGTACTATAATCCAAAGTATACCATACTAAAATGGTTAAGTACACTAATATATATAAACACTAATATTAGCCATGCGCTTTCATTCAACTGAAAATTTGGAAAATTATACAATTATGCACACGAAAATAAAACAGAAAAAGTACAGTACAGAAAAACAAACAACTTTAAAAATATAATAAAAAAATAAATAAAATAATATAAAATAAATCAGAATAAAGTCAGGTATAAAAATCAAGTTAAAAAAATCAAATAAATACTTTGTAAAGCTGACAAACTTTTAAAGTCTTTATTCTAAGTTGTATTTATTTTAAGTCTTATTCAGATAGTCTCTAATACTACGTACAGTCTTACTTCAGTCAACAAAAGCACACAGTTAAGTTTTTATTAGTAAACTTGCATTTATGCATGTGGAATTTGGTCAGAAATAATTAATAACAATTAAATAATAGCGTAATTGCATTTACGCATATTTCTATTCTTTTTTAAATATTCAGTGAAGCCAAAAAAAAAGTACATTTTCCCATGAAAGTGAGAGGTTTTGGGCACCGAATATGTTCATTGACCAATTTCTGTGTCACACGTCACAATACGAGTACGATGCTAAAATAAACTTAAGGTGGTTGCGTTTATTTTATAACAGTTATTAGACAGTACAGTATACTAGAATATTATATATATTTCAATCGAAAATAAATTATACTAAACGGTCAGTGGCTAACTTGTTCCTGCTCACGAACTGACAGTACGTTTACATTTACCAAATTCATTTATTCAAAGCTTGTGGGATTCTATCGCAAGATAATTTAGCAAGTAAACAAACGCCCACTTGACTTAGCTCTGTCTCTGCGTGGTAAAGAAAAGCATACTTTGAATTAAAGCAGATGAATCCGTCACAGGTTTTGTATTTTATCTGTTATATTCCGGAGAATGACAGAACTGCGAAAGTTGGCTAACGCCGCTAGCTTAGCTAGCATGAAGACTCAACACTCACCCATGAGAATTCTCATCTGTTTTTTTCCAAACAGCCTGCTAAAGATCGATGAGATGGTCAGACCCATGATGAAGGACACAAATCGCCTACAACTACGGGATTTATCCTAATGTCTAAAGTTTTTTCGGTGTGATGCTCGTCGGGTGTCAGGACACCCTGTCGGCTCTGCGCTTGCGTAATGCCACGTCACGGCCGCCGTGGAAGAAATGACGCCAAGCCATTTCCGATGATCAGATTCAGAAGAAAACAGCGCATAATGATACAAACAGGTTCACATACTGTTACAAATTACTTAATAATAATAATAATAATAATACAATAATTATTATTTTTAACAGTATGTGTCTGTAATATTATACGCTGTGTTAAGTTGTCATTAAAAAAAAACTCATTATGAAAATCTGTCAGTCGAAGGTGCCAAGGTGAACGTGATCTATACAATTAACGGATTAAAGATATGAGAAAGTACTTTGGTTGGTTCTTACGCAATATAGTTAAAAATAGTTAAAAAGTTGCCTTCTTGACAGCCTTCATTATTCCATTGCTACGATTTCGTAATGGATATATCCTAGTGGTGCCAGAATAATTATTTCATTTACAAAAATGTATTTGGATCATATGCAGAAAGTTTTAAATAAAGCATAACATTCATCTATTGCAAGAAGTGTAATATCAGCAGTTTGTGAAATGTACTATTGATCAATAAAGGATGAGCTATAGGCCAGTGCCAAAATATGTTGTAATGCTTCTTAGAAATGTACAATGTCATTTATATTGTATTTATATTAAATATTTATATTAGATTTTCTGAAACGCCAGTCTTTCTTACTGGATAAATATGATTAGCAGTTTTGTATTATTGTTTATATAGTGAATATGGGAATAATGTAGTATGGGATGTTAAAATCCAGAAGGCATTATCACTTGATGGTACACAAGGATTTCACGTATTTTCAATGTCCTCCTCATACATTCAGTACACTCATTTACTAATTTTCTGTTTATATTCATGTGTGTGTGTATTTTATTCACATACCTTTATTGATTATTATCTGTGTGTTATTGTTGTCTCTGTGTACTGGAAGCTTCTGTCACCAGAACAAATTCCGTGTATGTGCAAACATACTTGGCAATAAAGCTCTCTGATTCGGATTCTAATGTACATCAACATAAAACGGTCTACCATACTATTCTGTCATAGTGGGGTAATCACTGTCATTACTCAATTAAATTACAAAAGTACTGGGCTAAACCACAATTTTTCTTTTATTTAGATTTCTGTGCTTACTTGCAATAAGATATTTCTGTATTTTTCAGTACTCAAGAAACAACAAAAAGCAGATGAAATTAATTTGTCATATGTCTATGGTGTATTATTCTTATTATTTAATGTTTAATAAACATGCATCTCAGTGGTAACTCAAATATGACAACCCATCACAACACAACCCACAGATTAACCTATTGCAATGGTCTTTAAAGGAACAGTTCACCCAAAAATAAAAATGTGTTGAAAATGTACTCTGGTCATCTAAGATATAGATGCAATGGTTTAAAGTTAAGACATCTTAAAGATGGATTTCTTTCTTACAAACAAGCTTTCTTAATTGATGGACTGGAGTGGTGAGGATTACTTGTGGATTATTGTGATGTTTTTATCAGCTGTTTGGACTCTCATTCTGACGGCACCCATTCACTGCAGAGGATCCATTGGTGAGCAAGTGGTGTAATGCTATATTTCTCCAAATCTGTTCTGATAAAGAAACAAATTCATCTACATTTCGGTTGGCCTGAGGGTAAGTAAAGTTTCAGCTAAATTTTATTTTGGGGGGAACTATTCCTTTAAGAATGGAAAATTCCAGAGGTCTGTCACCAGAGTATATCAACGAAAAAAAACCTGCATACAAAGTATCCATTTAGTTTTCATCAGATCTTTATTTCCTCACAGGGGTGGACCTTGTGGCACAGTTCGAGCAAGAGTAGGGCATTTGCCGCAGTAGGGAAGTGTACAAGATCAGAAAATCCTGCTAAGGAAATGAGGACCTTATTGGTTTACTGGAGTGCCCCATACAAAATTCTCACCGAATGCACCTCAATCGTTGATATTAAAGGTGCCAGCATACATACATACATACAGCCATTTGACATGAAAAGAGAAAAGAAACATGGAGCAGATTGAAGAAACAATTCATCCTGGTCCAATCCACCATGTCCAACCCACCTCAGAAAAATCAAGCAAGGTGTACTATGATCTGTTCAAATGCTTTCAACTAAAACATTTATTGTTCAATGGAGGGGTTTAACATCAAAGGCAGTTAAGAGATCATTGGGCTAATCAATCACAGATGTCTCCATATTGCTGTCAATACTTCATGTACCATTTTGTTACAAAGAATCTGTTGGTGGCAAAGTCCCTAAAACAAGACTTAGGAGGTTTTGCAACAAAAGTTAATGTGAAGCTTTGTAAAACAACCCCGTGGAATAAAATTAACTGCCATGAAATGGAATGTTCATGGAGCTGCGAATCCTGCGACTCGCTAGTCGAGTTAGGCAGCATTGCAACAGGGATCTTGGGAGTGAGCGTCAGTGCACAACGGCTTCTTTCTGGCATTTACTCGCTCTTAAGCTACAACTACTCCAAACTCGCACGAGAGGGATGCCTCGACCTGGAATTCCTCCCAAACTTCCTTTCTGTTGTGCCATAATGCTCTCACAGTTCTCAAGTAAATGTGCAATTTAAGCATTATCTTACAGTCATGAAAAAAAAAAATCAGATTTGTAAGGAAAAAAATTAAAAGAACATTAGTAGGAATACAGCACAGAAAAAGACAGATAAGATAGATTAGACATGATGCTGAACACTTGATAGCTCCTCCACACACTCTCTCTCTCACACACACACACACTCACTCAAGTTCTTCAAGACAGAGTCTATCAACCGGCACACTCCATCTTTCTAAAGTACACACACATCTCGCCACTATCAGCAGGCACACTAGTGTTTGGAGAGCTCGTTTGATAACCAGTCCAGTCCTTCATAGAGTCCGGTGCCTTGTGTAGCACAGGTTGCTTGAACGTACCACTGTGGAAACAGACAACAGACAATTAAAATGCAGTCGATGTTTAAGCAAGTGCATGTTGGAGTTAATCGAGTGTGTGTACCGTTCTGCTGCGTAGGCTTTGCAGTCCAAGTTTGTCTGTGAGTTCACTGACAGCCATGGCATTAGGCAGATCCTGTTTGTTTGCAAAAACCAGCAGCACGGCATCCCTCAGTTCATCTTCTTGCAACTGTATAAATGAAAAAAGGTCAATAAATCAAGACAATTTACAGAGCTCAACAATAAGGATGGCAGGGAGAAAGCATGAGTTGCGGGCCACCAAACGTACATTAAATGCCTAGTATTTTTGCAATAAAAAACGTATTCGCAGAAATGCAGAAAGTGTGTGAACTTAAAATTAAATGTAACCCTTGTGCTGTGCTGAAAATCCTTCACCTATTTTAATGTTTCTGGTTTCAAAATGACTGACCTTTCAAAAATGCTTGTACATTTCTCTCTTTATGCCATATTTTCATAAAATCTTGGATTTAGTCTTTTTGTAAATGGTTTTCTTTCAATCGGTCTCTTTTGGAACCGAGTGGTCGCAGGCCTCAGTTTTGGAGTGAAAAAAAAAGCATTACTTGTGGATAAATTTGGCAATGTTTACTCAAAAAAAATCAATGAGAACTATGAGCAATCAGATCCAAAAAGAAATACAAAACCTGTGCTAAATGAAAGATAAACAACTTGATAAAAAGACTGAATCCAATATTTGGTAATAATATAGCATAAAAATAAATTTATAGGCAATTTTTTGTACGTCATTCTTTTTTGAATGGGAAAACCACAAGTGTAACAAGGTTGGGTTAAAATCCAAAACAAGTTAAAGGGGTCCTATTATGCTTTTTCACTTTTTTAATTTTAGTCAGTGTGTAGTGTGTATGTTTGGGCATAAAAAAGATCTAGAAAGTTACAAATCTCAAAGTCCACTCCAAAGGGAGATATTTCGTTTTTTAAAAATCCCTTTTCAAGAACTACAACGAACGGCGTATTTTAATAATGTAAATTATGTGAAAAATAATGCGTTTTTCGAACCACCAAGCATGAGAGCATGTTCTAGTACACCCCCAAAACAAAATCAAGACTTTGTAAAAGAGCATAATAGGACCCCTTTAAATGTTTTTTTGTTTGTTTTTTGTAAAAAGTTGTTACACCCTGTGTGAGCAAAGTCAGTCAGTTTTAGTCCAATGCAATAACATTAACTAGCATTTTTGGGATGCTAGTCAAAATGACCAGAACACAACATGAGGGTTAAAAGGTCATAAACACAAGTGTCACAAACGTATTACATGGACTTTTCTCAAGATGCTTCAGTAAGAAAATCTCCACCAAGTACATGAATGCAAATGTAAATACATTTTGTAACGTGATCTCCGTTTAGGTCACTAAAGATGACAAGTTCTTGAGCATTATACAGATTTTATGTAATATATACAAATTAAACGGAAAGCTTTATACAGAGCAATTCTTACCATTTTAGAAAGCTCTTCTGCAGATTCGGCCACTCTCTCTCTGTCATTGCTGTCCACCACAAAGATCAGACCCTGAGGACAAAGGAATAAAAAATCATCAAGATGCTTCAAATGAATAATATTCACAAAAGCACCTGATTACAAAGATTACAGCACATCTCAACCAATATTTTGCACTTTAAAGAGAGATTTCACACCAGGATTCTCAAAGGGCATGGTTCCTGTAACTGATCTATTATAAGTTATTTTGAATAAATGCATTCAGAAACAGCTAAGAGGAACTCTGGCCAGCTAAACGTCTCTAAATAAAGATCTGACCTGTGTGTTCTGAAAATAGTGTCTCCATAGAGGACGAATCTTGTCCTGACCGCCGACATCCCACACGGTGAAGCAGATGTTCTTGTATTCAACAGTCTCTACATTAAAACCTGTCCACATGCAAAAAAAAAAAATACAGTATAAGAACATTTTACTCAACATGCATCATAATATCAAAGTATTTTTGATTGGCTACAACGAGATTTGTGATACACAAATATTTCACCCAGAGCAGTTCACTGGTTCATATTTGGCTGTTAAGAGATTATCGCCATCAGATGATGACTGTCTAATTGACCCTTTGGTCCCTCGGTTTACTATAGTTCACTAAGAAACAGTGAAAGTGCACCTGTTTTACCATATTGTCAGATCATTTCTGTAAAACCTTGTGATAATGTGGCGGGCAGCAACAGTTGCTAAGGTAGGATTGATCAGTAATGTTTTTAAGGCGGGACTTAGCGACGGGGAAATTAACAGCACTTATGTCAGCTCCAATACCTACTGTCAGGATTGTCAATCGATAAAATACTTTGTATTATCAAATATTCTAATACATTTTGAATAAAAATAAAAGTTTATTTAATGACAGTAATTTAATTTTATTATATATGCTGTTAATAAGTGATCAATGCTGAAAACAGTTGCTGAAGGATTATGTGACACTGAAGACTGGAGTCATGGCCACCAGTGTATATGTAAATTGTAAATAATAATCGCACAAAAGATTACTTTTAATCATTATCAAGTGCAATTTCTCCCCAATTAAGCTGTAAATGTGGTGGCAGTGAGATATCGGTCATCAAAATGATGGGAATCTTAAAACAGATTGACATTCATCACACATTAAGTTATTATTAAGTAATCATGAACTCCTTCTGTTTTAAATTAAAACTTTACATTGTTAAAGAATGAGTAGAAAATTGAGAACAACGACAGTAATGATGGTGTAATCTCACCTATGGTAGGGATAGTGGTCACAATTTCTCCCAGCTTCAGCTTGTAAAGTATTGTGGTTTTACCTGCAGCGTCCAACCCCACTGAAAAATAAAACATGTAAGAAAAGACCTTTGGCTGTCAAATTCATTACTGGGTTGTGATTTATTTCTGATTTCATATATTCATACAAGCTCTATCTGAAGCTAGCAAGCTAACAATAATCACTGCCCAAGAAATAACACATTAATTGTTGAATTTCAATGCGTAAATGAATAAAAACTCAATTATTGACAAATGATTTCATCTTACACCCAAATATTACCCCTTTTGTCTCAAAACTGAATATTTATCACAGAAATACATCAGAAAGACTATTAGGACCCCTTTAAATGTTTTTTTGTTTGTTTTTTGTAAAAAGTTGTTACACCCTGTGTGAGCAAAGTCAGTCAGTTTTAGTCCAATGCAATAACATTAACTAGCATTTTTGGGATGCTAGTCAAAATGACCAGAACACAACATGAGGGTTAAAAGGTCATAAACACAAGTGTCACAAACGTATTACATGGACTTTTCTCAAGATGCTTCGGTAAGAAAATCTCCACCAAGTACATGAATGCAAATGTAAATACATTTTGTAACGTGATCTCCGTTTAGGTCACTAAAGATGACAAGTTCTTGAGCATTATACAGATTTTATGTAATATATACAAATTAAACGGAAAGTTTTATACAGAGCAATTCTTACCATTTTAGAAAGCTCTTCTGCAGATTCGGCCACTCTCTCTCTGTCATTGCTGTCCACCACAAAGATCAGACCCTGAGGACAAAGGAATAAAAAATCATCAAGATGCTTCAAATGAATAATATTCACAAAAGCACCTGATTACAAAGATTACAGCACATCTCAACCAATATTTTGCACTTTAAAGAGAGATTTCACACCAGGATTCTCAAAGGGCATGGTTCCTGTAACTGATCTATTATAAGTTATTTTGAATAAATGCATTCAGAAACAGCTAAGAGGAACTCTGGCCAGCTAAACGTCTCTAAATAAAGATCTGACCTGTGTGTTCTGAAAATAGTGTCTCCATAGAGGACGAATCTTGTCCTGACCGCCGACATCCCACACGGTGAAGCAGATGTTCTTGTATTCAACAGTCTCTACATTAAAACCTGCCCAAAGAAAATAATAATCGCACAAAAGATTACTTTTAATCATTATCAAGTGCAATTTCTCCCCAATTAAGCTGTAAATGTGGTGGCAGTGAGATATCGGTCATCAAAATGATGGGAATCTTAAAACAGATTGACATTCATCACACATTAAGTTATTATTAAGTAATCATGAACTCCTTCTGTTTTAAATTAAAACTTTACATTGTTAAAGAATGAGTAGAAAATTGAGAACAACGACAGTAATGATGGTGTAATCTCACCTATGGTAGGGATAGTGGTCACAATTTCTCCCAGCTTCAGCTTGTAAAGTATTGTGGTTTTACCTGCAGCGTCCAACCCCACTGAAAAATAAAACATGTAAGAAAAGACCTTTGGCTGTCAAATTCATTACTGGGTTGTGATTTATTTCTGATTTCATATATTCATACAAGCTCTATCTGAAGCTAGCAAGCTAACAATAATCACTGCCCAAGAAATAACACATTAATTGTTGAATTTCAATGCGTAAATGAATAAAAACTCAATTATTGACAAATGATTTCATCTTACACCCAAATATTACCCCTTTTGTCTCAAAACTGAATATTTATCACAGAAATACATCAGAAAGACTATGTGCTTGAAACACTCACCCATCAGTATTCTCATCTGTTTCTTGCCGAAAAGTCTCCCAAAGAGCGATGAGATGGTCAGACCCATGATGATTTAAAAGAAAAACCTAAACCCTAACAACAAGCAAAACAGTAAAGAAAATGTGCGAATGTATTTGAATGAATATTCTGTCTCTTTGTGCTCAGTGTCTCGCAGTCGCTTGACGCGTTGCCACGTAAGAATAGGAGCCACCGTGGAAGACTTGGCGTCACTTCCTGCTGCAATCGCACTCCGGGCAGTGATGTCATAATTATTCATAACTTCCGATGTTTTCTAAAACGCTCACGTGCTTTTCTGATGGCCAACAATAAATGAAATAAATGGACTCTATTCTCAGTTCTTTAAAATGTAATCCCTGTATTCACGCCGAATCTGAGTGCACTGGACAACCTTATTTTTTTATCTTATTTTTTGTTCGCTTGTTTGTTGTTTATTAAGCAAAAAAAAAAAAAAAGAATCCATGAAATAAATTCATGCATGCATTCATTCATTCATTAAATCATTAGTATAGTTGTTGATGTTGTTATATAAATGAAAAACATATATTTTACATTATTATTTTTATGATTAATGTTGGTTTTCATTTTCCAACAATCAAGTTGTCAACAATTAAGTTGTGATTTTTTAAATATTATGTCTCCTTCACCTAATATTTTTATATTATTTCGAAACTGTAATTTTTGAATTTATACAGAGCAATTCTTACCATTTTAGAAAGCTCTTCTGCAGATTCGGCCACTCTCTCTCTGTCATTGCTGTCCACCACAAAGATCAGACCCTGAGGACAAAGGAATAAAAAATCATCAAGATGCTTCAAATGAATAATATTCACAAAAGCACCTGATTACAAAGATTACAGCACATCTCAACCAATATTTTGCACTTTAAAGAGAGATTTCACACCAGGATTCTCAAAGGGCATGGTTCCTGTAACTGATCTATTATAAGTTATTTTGAATAAATGCATTCAGAAACAGCTAAGAGGAACTCTGGCCAGCTAAACGTCTCTAAATAAAGATCTGACCTGTGTGTTCTGAAAATAGTGTCTCCATAGAGGACGAATCTTGTCCTGACCGCCGACATCCCACACGGTGAAGCAGATGTTCTTGTATTCAACAGTCTCTACGTTAAAACCTGCCCAAAAGAAATGCAGTGATATACAATACATTCAGTGGAATAGTTCTGCTTTTTAATGAAACACTGGCTGAATGTTGTGGTGTAAGACAGGACACTCAGGCAATCACTGAAGCCACATGTATGATGACAGCCAGTGGACGTTGACATATCATAAAAGGAGACAAGTACTACAGTTTCATAAAAATTACCAGAGGGATGATACGATACTCATATGACTCAGAACACAACACAAGACAATGACCTCAATCTACTCATGAGATCTGCTTTGAGATCATAGTCAAATCAAAAACAGTCCTGTCCTCTTACCTATGGTTGGAATGGTGGTCACAATTTCTCCTAGTTTGAGTTTGTACAGTATTGTGGTTTTGCCGGCAGCATCCAGCCCCACTGTAAAACAGCAAGAACTCATGATGAGAATAAGGTTTCTAAATATATAAGAAAGAAACAGAAGTCACTTCTCTTAAAAACTCAATGAAGAGCTCATGTCTTAAATGGCCAAGGATATAAACTACACTGTATTATTCCAGTAAACAGACTTTACTAGAATATAAACCTAAATATGTACCTAAAAACCATATCACTCTATGGCATACTACTATATGTAATATAATAAACCATTTTAACTGTACTGTACTATATTAGTTAAAACACTACAGAGTAGAGCTGCACGATTAATCGTTAAAAGATCGAGATCGCAATTCAAACACCCAAAAAAAAAAAAGAATCCATGAAATAAATTCATGCATGCATTCATTCATTCATTAAATCATTAGTATAGTTGTTGATGTTGTTATATAAATGAAAAACATATATTTTACATTATTATTTTTATGATTAATGTTGGTTTTCATTTTCCAACAATCAAGTTGTCAACAATTAAGTTGTGATTTTTTAAATATTATGTCTCCTTCACCTAATATTTTTATATTATTTCGAAACTGTAATTTTTGAAGGCAATACCAAAACATATTTCCTTCCGTTTTATTTTCTCCCTCAGTTAAATAATAATGTATTATTACAGTACTGTAAAGTACAGTATTTGCACTGGACAACGATTTCTGTCAAACTGTTGCAAATGCCTTTTTGACCAGTAGAGGTCATGGCACATTAATTTTAATGTCCGTGGTGCGTGCAGTAAATTTGGGTCCGACCGAGTATTTGCAAGACATCGATAGATAGATAGATAGATAGATAGGAGGACGAATCTTGTCCTGACCGCCGACATCCCACACGGTGAAGCAGATGTTCTTGTATTCAACAGTCTCTACATTAAAACCTGTCCACATGCAAAAAAAAAAATACAGTATAAGAACATTTTACTCAACATGCATCATAATATCAAAGTATTTTTGATTGGCTACAACGAGATTTGTGATACACAAATATTTCACCCAGAGCAGTTCACTGGTTCATATTTGGCTGTTAAGAGATTATCGCCATCAGATGATGACTGTCTAATTGACCCTTTGGTCCCTCGGTTTACTATAGTTCACTAAGAAACAGTGAAAGTGCACCTGTTTTACCATATTGTCAGATCATTTCTGTAAAACCTTGTGATAATGTGGCGGGCAGCAACAGTTGCTAAGGTAGGATTGATCAGTAATGTTTTTAAGGCGGGACTTAGCGACGGGGAAATTAACAGCACTTATGTCAGCTCCAATACCTACTGTCAGGATTGTCAATCGATAAAATACTTTGTATTATCAAATATTCTAATACATTTTGAATAAAAATAAAAGTTTATTTAATGACAGTAATTTAATTTTATTATATATGCTGTTAATAAGTGATCAATGCTGAAAACAGTTGCTGAAGGATTATGTGACACTCATTTTCCAACAATCAAGTTGTCAACAATTAAGTTGTGATTTTTTAAATATTATGTCTCCTTCACCTAATATTTTTATATTATTTCGAAACTGTAATTTTTGAAGGCAATACCAAAACATATTTCCTTCCGTTTTATTTTCTCCCTCAGTTAAATAATAATGTATTATTACAGTACTGTAAAGTACAGTGCACGCACTGGACAACGATTTCTGTCAAACTGTTGCAAATGCCTTTTTGACCAGTAGAGGTCATGGCACATTAATTTTAATGTCCGTGGTGCGTGCAGTAAATTTGGGTCCGACCGAGTATTTGCAAGACATCGATAGATAGATAGATAGATAGATAGATAGATAGATAGATAGATAAATAGATAGAATTTAAAGGTTTAAATTTTTATTTGTTAACCTGATCTGATATTTTTTTTATTATAAAGTGTTACTAAGGAGGTCGACACCACACAACACCTACCTGTGGAACAAGCTCTGTAACGTAAAACACATGTAGTTTTAGCCGCAAATGTGTGGTTATGAAAGAAATGCGAGGAGCGCAGCTGCGCCGGTGTACAGGTGAGCTCGTCACGTGACCAGAGGTTCAACGTCCAGGTGAGACGGCGGGAGTCAGTCAGACAGCTGCTGTACATGACAGGACAGACAAACAACAACGAGCTGGCATGTAGTTCACGGCATAAATCTCTTCATCATGAATTCAAGCGGTGCATTATCAGATGATGAAGAAAAGGTAATTAATCACTTCACAATTTATTATTTACCTGAAGTCAAGGCGAATACAATTTAATGTGGGAAAACAGTAGCCTGCGCTGCAGATATTTGATGACTGTCAAACTTTCGACCTGATGGCGTCATTTTGATTATTATCTATATATTAAACATATTAATGTTCTTTATTTTCGTCTTGATTGCTTCCACAGATTACTGTTTTGTCTTGGATCTACGTCTCGACTTTGAGTTTAAGGTGAGAAATACTTAACGTTTATTCGACTGACATGTGATTCCAGCATTGGTTTAGAATAAGCGCTTGCGATCTGTTGCTTTAATAGAACACGCAAAGAGAAAACATTACTTGCAGCTGAAGTTATGCATTTGATTTGAGAGGCAGTAACTCGCCTGACTCGCAGTGGGACTTCTGAAAAGTGAAGTAAGGATTTTGGGAATTTACATGTGACATAATAGGAAGACACATGGGGCAACCCAATCTGTCCCATTGTTTAAGCACAGTCCCCTGCAGGGCCCATAAAAGTGAGCTGTAAAAATGTTAGCAATTTGAAAGGAAATGTAAAAATATTACAATATTACCATTTGATGGGATAATTAATGGGTAATTAATCTTATCGTTTACAGATTAAAAAAATGATATTATAATTTAATTTTTACATTTTATTATAAAACACTGACATGTCTTTGAAGTAAAAATATGAATTGCCTTTATAATTTACTGAAACAATGAGTCAGTATGTATGCAATTTGTATTTACTGTAAACATTTTACATTATGTTAAATATTGTTAAAGAATGAATCCTTCTGAGTTTAACAGGAAAAGACATTGCCAGAAATCACTGCACAAACCATCACATTAACATTTATATGTTTAGATGTTACTTTATTTTTGTTACTATATTTCAAATTAGAGTTGAAGAGTTTTAAGTGGCATTTTATGTAGTTTATGGCAATGCCTTATGTCATGTGTGTCATGTTGTGGCTTTTAAAATCTTAAAAGTAGAATTCTTAACTTGTATCACATGTGTGCTTGTTGTTTTTGACTTCATTACATTTATCACATTGCTGCACTCAGTGTACGCCGCTTGGAATCTAGGTTTATTATTTTAACCACTTTTTCTTTATGTTGCAGTCTGATAGGTAGTTGTTCTGTCGTGGTGGTTTCCATCATAAAGAGAAGGCATCTCAATGAACAGGTGAGTCACACAGAAGAGAAAGAAATGTCCTGTTGCTGTTGTGCTTGGCATCGGTGTATCTGTTTCACTGTTATTATATATATACAAGTTACTAGCTGAAATAAAACTTTTTATATTTATTTTAGTTAATGTTTATTGTATTTTAAGGAAAGGGAATTTTTTTATGGTTTCCGTTTTGGTTAACTAAAATAACCCTGATCTGTATGCAATGGTGAAATTTTAACTTGAGGACCAAATCTGATTAAGCCACCATGCTGTAAAAAACAGGGCACAACGTACTGTATTAATATGCTATTTTATACAGGTGCTTTGCCTGTATTTTGAATTTTGCA